TTGGCCCGTGGTGTGGGCTGGGCCGGCCCGGCCTGCGTTAGCTTTAGGAGAACGGGGCGGGCCGGGCCGTTCTTGCATCTTGGTAGATACTCTTTCTTCATAGTTAAAAAGTCGGTTATTTTTTCTCAAAAAAATGGAAATATATTTTTTAAATTACGTTTTTCAAATTTTTTTAAAAACACAAAATTATATTATTTTTATTTTTTCATAATTAGTCAAAAAAACAAATTTTATTTTTAATCAACCATCATACATATTTCATCAACTATCAAATAATTAAAGAAAATCCTAAATCAGCCTTTATCATATTTATAGTGATCACCATCGCATATTCATGTATCACATAATCAAAAAACAACCTAAAATTCCCTAAAAAACCTAAAATGAAAAAAAAAAAAAAAAAAAAAACCTAAATCAAACTTTATCGTAAACAAAACTAGGTAACAACAAAAACTAAATAAAAACAACTTCTAATAAACATCCTAAATCCTCAAAAATTTCACCATCATATATTCATAATCATTACAAATAAAAAAAAAGCAAAAAAAAAAAGCAAAAATCATAAATCAACCTTTATCAATATAGTCATTATCACCACCTCATAATCAACAATATCATCTCCTAACCAAAATTAATTACATTAAGCTAATTAATAGCTTTTAAAGAAAATTCTCCAAATTTCCAACCTCGAATAAGGGAAGAGAGAGAGAGAATGGTTGTTGTGGAGAGGGACGAACAGAAAACGACAAGACGGTGACAAAAGGTGGCGCGAGATGGCGATAACAGGGGAGATGGAGAAGAGAGGAGAAAATATAAAGAAGATAGAATAAATGAAAGAGCTCTACGGTGGAGGGATTTAAATAACTAGACCAATTAATCTGTCGTTAAAAGTTAATTAAATTTTAGATTTAAGTAAAAGAGCGTAAAAGAGCATAAAAGGACTCTGTAAACAAAAATTTCAAGCTCCGACATTTAGGGACGACATCGCTAAAAGGTAAATAGAATTTCAAACTTTTTAAAATGCGCTACAAAACCGGGCTGATGAAAATTTCAAGATTCAACCTTTTAAAAGCTATTGGAATTTTAGATTTATAAAAAGCATATCAAATGTGTGCCAAAATAAATTTGTTATAAATATACGACTTATCGTTTCTAAAAGCATGGATCGAAACTTTAAATATTTAGCTATGATGCTTGTCTTTCTTAAAACTTCTGCGGGCAATTAAAATGTTTCCGTCAAATATTGAAAATCTGTTTGGTTCATGCGTTTAAGTTAGTAATTTTAATTTATTAGTGGAAACTTTATTAGATGAGAAGTTTTTATATTCAAATCATTTGTGAGATGAAAAACGCTTAACAGAATCAGAATCAGTGGTTCAAGTATATGAACCAAATTGGGCCTTAAAAATGGCATTTGTTGTCTCTAAAGGTGTTTAGAGACAACAAGAAATTTTCACTATTTTTCCGCCAATTAACATTCAGCGATGAGTTGTCGTCACTAATTCGAAACATTTAGCAACGACAATATGTGGTAATGTTATTTCATAAATATCCCTTAAAACTATTGATTTTGTATCAATTTGTCCTCCTATTTTGTAAAATATATATCGGAGCAAATTGACAAAAAAGTAATAACTCAAATGGTAATTTGACTTAAAATAATTAATAGCTTTGGCGTATTTATAAAAATATAAGTAATATCAAGTCATCATTTTATTAATTTTGTGAATATGTGCATTTTAGACTAGGTACATAATTCAGAGAAGGAAATAAATCATTTTCAAAATTCAAGAGGCGTGTTTAAGTAGGGTGCAAACTTCTGGGGATATTTATGGAATTAATCCTAAATATAATAGTAAATTATTTCAAAAAAAAATGAAATGATGGATATTTTTCCATTTACAAATATCTTTTATGTCTGAAAATGAGAAAAAAAAACTCCAACAAAAGAATAGAAAGATATTTTTCCATTTACAAATATCTTTTATGTGTGAAAATGAGAAAAAAAAACTCCAACAAAAGAATAGAAAGATATAGAACGATGAGAATATAAAGTAAGGAAAAAAATAAAATGGTGATGCAAAAAAAAAAATGAAGTGGTTAAAAAATTAATAATCTTATGAAACATTAGGGATAATTTTGAAATCATACAACTATGTGATAAGTATCTTATGTCATGGAGTTTTCTTTGGTAGGCACGAAAAAATAAACTATCAAAAAAAAATTGTTTATAGTCGTTATATATGTATCAGAAAGTGTATATTCACGTACGTTTCAAATATAATGTAATTTTGACTAAATTTACCAATAAAAGACTAACCCTATCAGTAACGAGGTCCTATTGAAAAAAAAAAAAAAAAAACCGTTAGATCATTTTAAAATTTATGCGGGGTGTGTATTTAAGATGTAATTTTTACTGTAGAAATTATTCTTTTTAATTATCAATAGAAATTACTATTTTAACCGTTGAATCAATATTTTAATTATTTAATTTGTGAGAATTCATGTTCAAAATTTACAGTATGCAATATAGAATTGCTACAATCAACACATCAAGTCATCGGAAACTTAATATAACAATTAAAACAATAATATCCTACCCAACACTTAAAACAACAATATCCTGCCGTACAATTTCCCTAAAAAACATGACGGTTTGTGAATCAGCAGGCCTTTTTTTTTTTTTTTTCCTAATCGAATCAGCAGGCTTTTTAAACGTTAAAAAAGTGGCAAAAAAAAAAGAGTGTGTCATTAAGCAGGATCTATCCCAAACAAATTAAAAGACCAAATTGAGCAAAAATAAATAAATAAATTATTTTAGCACCCTCTATTATAGCGAAGTATGTTCTCAATATCATATATTTTTTATAATATTAAAGTGGTAATTCAACGTTTAAAAAAATATTTTCTTAGTATCCTGAAGTTGATTTTTTAGAGTAAAATGATCTTAAGATAATTAACCAAAAACTAATCAATTTAATATTCGTCCACAAGTGTAAGGTGTCAAATTTTGATAGTAAAAGGTGAGTGAGTATCGTCTACACAGGAATTGAGTATTAAATTACTACTAAGTACCGCAATTATCGCAACTCAACTTTATCTAGACAATCAAACTTAATGAAATAAAAATAGAACTAAAATAAATATAAATACAAAAAAAAAAAATAAAATATGGAAACTTCTATGCACAAATGTATTAGGAACTTGACTTCACCTTATCAATCCTATGTTCATCCTATCAAACCCTGCTAGTCAATTCTACTCAATTCATTAATCAAGGGACCTAATATAACCTCATTACCTCTCCCGAACGTCAAACTAAGTTACATGCATGAATACCCGAATCAATATTCATATCTAACCCATTTACTCAAACACTCATCATTAAATTGGAAATCAAATGTCAATTGCCTCCCGGCCTCACGACAATCAAAATCCTAGTTGATAATCAAGGTCTTAATCACCTCCCGGTCTCACAATATCCTAGACTCTCAACGAGATTATCTAAGTGTCGATCACCTCCTGGACTTACAACAGCTTAAACTATGTTTCCCAATTCCAAACTATGAAATCAATTTTTCCCGAGCATTAAAATCACAATCTAAAATTATCTAACTCATTGGCCACATAAATTAGAAACATTAAGCATAGAGAAACATAAATAAATTAAGATGGAATTTAACTAACAATTGACAAGATAATCAAACATGGTTCAAATAAAGCTACATCAAGCCCTAGAATATGATGTCTAGCTCAACACAGAGGAATCTATAACCAAAATCACAATTTTAAGAACAAAAATTAAAAAACTACAAGTAAAAGGAAGAAGGAAGAGAAACCTCTTATGGAGATGAGCTTTAAGTCTTCAAATCTTCAAGAATTTCTCCTAAGCATTATTTAAGAATCTTCAACTCCAAGGTTCTCTCTCTAGGAATTTTTGTGTCTCTCTCTCTAAGTTGGGAACTAGCGTTACCAAAATTGGACAATAACTTCATATAAACTTAACCAAGTGTCAAAAATGGCCAACCATAATGATCAAGGGCCAAAAAAACTCAAAAACCTCATTTTAGCATAGGAGGGGCGCGGCCAGTGCTGCTTGCGCGTTGGGCACCTAGTGCGCGCTATAGTGGGCTTGGGCGCACTGCTGGCGCGTGCCCCTGCCCAGGGCTGCTCTTGGGAATTTTTCACCGCGTTTCGCCCGACGGTTTGTGCGGGTCCTTGCCCTCGTCTGTGGCTCGTCCTAATAGCTTCTAAAACTCCAATTTTTTTTCTTGTTTTCACCTAATTTCCCATTTATTAATGATTCCTACAAAAACACATCAAACTAACAAAAATGCTTGAAAACTCACAAATATTTGAACTCAAAGGTACTTGATTTGTTGGTAAATAACCTCCTCATCATCTAAAAAAAATTATTTTTTTCTTTTAAATATTTTAAAACATTAAAATATTTTTATTTTTAAAAAAAATTATTAATTTCTATTTAATTAATAAGAATGGTAGTTTGGACATTACGTGTCTCAAAAATTAGCTTCAGGATATCAAAAAGACGTTTTTTTAGAAAATCGAGGTACCCTTTGAAACTTTAATATTATAAAAAACACAAGATATTAAGAACATATTTCGCTATAACAGATAGTACCAAAATAATTTTATCCTAAAATAAGCTAAATCTGTAATGCGGTAGCAAGACCATTCTTTGAGAATTGAGGATTTTAGGACCATTATTGAAGATAAACTGGAACCACTTCCAAGATTTCTCAAAATAATTAGGTAACTTGAATGAGATCCTCCACAGCCCCTTTCATGGGTCAACGCAACGATCGTATGAACAGCGCGTAATTCTCAATATATATAGATATATATATATATAATGAATAATATATATTAGTACCACCATTTACCCCTCTGCAGTGCTGATCTTGTTTCTCTTCTCATCTTCTCAATCTTCTCCTGCCATTTCTTAGTGTTCAACACCAAGCAGCCGATCCAATAATTATATGGCAACGGAAAAGAGCAGGATCCTGCTGATCGGTGGAGCCGGGTACACCGGAAAGTTCATAGTGGAGGCGAGCGCTAAGGCCGGTCACGAGACTTTCGCTTTTGTACGAGTCCCCACGCTCTCCAACCCAGCCAAGGCCAACACCGTCAACAAATTCAAGTCCTTGGGCGTCAGATTCGTCTATGGTGACTTGTATGACCACCAGAATCTGGTCAAGGCAATCAAGCAGGTCGATGTCGTCATATCGACGGTCGGTCACGATCACTTGCCCGATCAGGTTAAGATCATTGCTGCCATCAAACAAGCCGGCAACGTCAAGGTAAATAATATTCAACTTCAAAGACTCCTATAACCTTAAATCAGTGAAAAATTATTAAACTTATACTGAATTCTAATTGTTTTATTAGTAATTAGTCCTATAGATTGTTGGTGAGTGAAAACTTATCAAACTATATCTATCACGTTTTGTGCAACTACTTTGTAATGTAAGTTATTATACTCATATTGATTGGAGTAGCTAAAAAATTAAATTTTACGTGCTTAATTATGGTGGTTTGGTTAAGAGGTTTTTCCCTTCGGAGTTTGGGAACGATGTGGATCGAATGGATGGGGTTGAGCCAGCAAAGACGTTGTATGCAACTAAGGTTAAGATTCGCAGAGCCATTGAGGCAGAAGGGATTCCGTACACATATGTGTCCTCCAACTTCTGTTTTGGCGTCTTTCTTTCCAATCTGGCGCAGCTGGGAGCCACTGCACCCCCGCGAGATAAAGTTGTCATCGATGGTGATGTAGAGTAATTTATAAAGTTGTTTACAAATTGTATTGGAAAGCCTCGTTGATTTTACCGATTTGGATTTTTAATTTTAATTTTACTACAGTTAAAAACTCTTAGAAATAGTCACATTATATTTTTTTACTACACTTAAAAACTTTCACATAAAGTCATATCTTAACTCAAATTGAAAATTCAAATCGGCGAACTAAATGAGGCCGAAGTTTTCACCTTGAGCATTTCATTTGAATGTAGTTGGTATATATACCTGTACTTATTATGGTCTCCTATCGCTTTCGGCAGTCCGAGTCGGAATTGGTGTTTGTATTATTTTCATAATTTAGAATATGTTTTCCCATTTTAAAAAAATAATAATAAATAATGCTCTTTTAGTAAAAATATTAAGACAACCGTGTTGGGGAACTAGTAATTCCTATAGAATTTGAACTTTGACACCCCATAAAAGAGGAAATATATATTTTGTGTAATTACTAAAGAATTCATGGCTTATTGGTTTCATTTGTTAGTCTTCTTGTGCAGCAATTTTCAACAAGGAGGAGGACGTTGCAACCTACACAATTAGAGCAGTGGACGACACAAGAACCTTGAACAAAGTCCTCTACATCAGGCCACCGGGGAACATCTACTCATTAAATGAGCTTGTGCTTTTGTGGGAGAAAAAGATAGGCAAAACCCTTGAAAGGGAGTACATTTTGGAAGACAAACTTTTAAAAAATATACAAGGTTTGCTTGCTTTTCTAAAAAATTTAAGCCCCTTTAGTTTTACAGTTCGATTCACAATTCAAACTTCTTATTATAATGTTTTCTCTCATAAAATTTTTATAGGGTGTTTGGGATGAGGATTCGTGTCATGATTTGAATAATAATTCATTGCTCGTTACAATATTTTCTCTTATAAAAAACACTCGTAAATTAATAATGGTTCTGAATTTATGAAGCAAACGGCCATATTTTTGTGCTACGGTGTTTTCTCTCACGTAAAAAATTCAGGGCCCGTTTAGTTCGCTGATTCGAGTTTTTAATTCGAGTTGAGATGTGATTTTATGTGAGAGCTTTTTACTGTAGCAAAAAAGTTAGATTTGATTGTTTGTGAGAGCTTTTTACTGTAGCAAAACTCGAATTCTAAACTCGAATCAGCGAAATGAACGGGGCCTTAACTTTTTAACTTAAATTCTCAACTCAAACTCGTGAAATGAACGGAAATTAAGTTCTTAATTGGCTATGAACATAAGATTACTATAAGTTAATTCTGGTGAATAAGCTTTTACTTTTACAAAGTTCTACAACTTAGAACTTAGAAATGCTCTTTTTAAGAGAATTATATATATATATATATATATGTACGACATTCAATTGTTTTTTCATTTTTATATTCTGGCTACGTTCTCTATGGTCAGCTAATTGAACTTACATTGACGCTTTTCCCTCTTTCCTTTTTTCTTTCCCTTTTCTTTTTCTTCGCAGAGGCCGGGCACCAACTTCTCAATAATATTCATGGTGAGTGAATTTTGTATAAGAATTTGAAAAAGTAAAAAAAAAAAAAAAACATAGGTACTTATCAAGAATATTGAATTTTACCGAACTGTTTTTCCCCCCTTATTGAAGATAGAAAGTTTACCTTTTTTTTTTCGTTACTATCAATATTTACAGATAATTCCGTTCCGGTCGATATGAAATTATCAGTCCGTCACTCTATTTTCGTACTGGGGGGTCATACAAACTTCAAGATTGAGCCCTCATTTGGAGTTGAAGCTTCGGAGCTCTATGCTGATGTAAAGTACACAACTGTAGATGAGTACCTCAATCAGTTTGTCTGAGATTAGAGCCATTACTATTGCCAGCAGCTATGTAAAAAAAAGTCACCTATTCGAGTTTAAAAATAATTACATTTAATTTTATTATTACAGTAAAAAGTTTTTACTTAAAGTTATATTTCGACTCGAATTAACGAACTAAACAGACCCGAAGATATGCCCAATATTAAAAATAAAATAATAATTATTACTATAAAATTTGGTCAAGAGAAGGGCCATTGTCGCTTGAGTTTGTGTGAGAAATAAGTTGGGTACTATGTCCTCCAGCTAGGACTGTAAGAAATCACCCTGAACCCGACGAACCCGGCCGAGCTGAGCCGACCCTATTCAAAAATCACGAGTTTTTAATTTTTTATTTAATTTTCTATTTTAATTATTCCAGCCCCACACTGTACAGGTAGGAGCGCGGGGTAGGGTTCCATGAACCCGAGGTAATCCTAACCGGCCGAACATATTCAAAGTAGGTAAAACAATGTACAATACTTCAAATTCTTACTTTCATACGTTTATGGATTTTATGTTTTTGGACTGTTAACTTATTTATGTTTTGGATTCACGGTTTGTGTAAAAAATGCTTGTATGCCATAGTTGTTGAATTAGGACCTTCTTTATTTATATTGGAAGTGTTTGATTTCAAAGTGTGTGTTTTAATTGTTCACTTTACATTTAGACCCCCTCTTGAAAGAAATACATGTTCTGTTTGATAATGATTCATTCCGTAACAAGCATAGATTAATTGATTAAAAAGTGATCATTTGGTCCTTGAGATCACCCTTGCTTTATGCATATTGTGATAATTGGAAAGGTTCGGCCATGGTCAGAATGCCTTACATTTGGGGAGAAGATGTAAAGGATTTCCGGCTTGAAAGATGGCTCAATAATCGAGTTTTTCAACCACAGTACCAGCCATATAAATCCAATAACACCACAGCCCATTAGAGTCCACCAAGCCTGTCACCCGAGTAACCCGAGCCTACCCGATGTCACCCGACAAGTTACGGATTTGTAGGCTTATGAGGGTGTTACGGTCTAAAGTTTTCTCAACCCGCACAGTACAGCTCGGCCCAATTTTTCGGCCCAACCCTAACCTACCCGGCCAAATTACACCTTTACCTCCAGCGTTCTCTCTTTTCTATTTCTTTTAGTCGATTTTTTTCGTAATAATTTCTAAATTTTTTTCAAATTTTAACTGGTAGACGATTTGAGATCGAATTGATTTGATCTTAAGTTATGATGGATATCCTACACTTTGTTTTTTCAGATTTTAACTATTGACTTGAAAATTGATATGTTATCGAGCTAATATGAGAATCGTCCACAAATCAAATTAAAGAAAAGATCGAAAGCATAAGATTAAGGTCGAGGGATTGAGTTTTTTTTTTTTTTTTTTTTTTAAATAATTAGGCATCGGAGGACTTTGGCTTATTTATTGAGATCGAGGTGATAATAGATTATTGAGGATATCTCTATGAAGACATATTAGGCAATCAATCTCAAACTCGGTGCAGAGGGTTTGACATAAAAATTACTATAACACTGTGTCAAGAGGTCAAGCTCATTCACCCGTAACACAACATTGGTAAAAAAAAATTTTAATAAAAAATAATATGGTAGATTATAAAAATAATCTACAAAAATATTCTCTGGTAATCAGTATTGGATTAGTTTTTTTTTTTTTTTTTTTGAAAATAAAATATAATCTAGTAGATTATAAAATATAATCTACCAGATTACTTTCTGGAGATGGTCGGCCATTTTTCTCTTGAAAATATTAAATCTGGTAGTAGAAGATAATCTACCACATTATTATATACACTAAAAGAGACCTAAGATTCGTTGTTAACACACTCACATTTTATTGTTCCTTATACAGTAACATTCTCGAAATTCTGTTTATGACCCTTGTCTTTTGAGTGTGATTTGTCAATTTTACCCTTTTTTCCTTCTTTTTTTCCCTTCTTTGTGCATTGGCTTTTGCGTCTTTTGATTTAGGATTGTCACGTGTTGACACTTGGCTGGCCGAAGAAAAAAGTGGTGGGGCCTACCACTGCGAAGTTGCTCTTTTCCCCCCTGAACGCACTTCTTTTGCGCGTGTTTTTTATGCGCAAATCATAACCGTCGAAATTTTTGCTCAGACGGTTTCAAACCATTTCCGATTTATTTTTTATTATAGTTATTTACTATTTTGAATTGATTTGCAGTTCAATTTTATCCATTTTACCACCGTTTTGTGCTAAATTTTTTTTATTACTTAAATAAAAATATCATGAATAATACAATGAAATTAAATAAAAATACGTATACTAAAAGAAAAAAAAATGTACACTATTCACATACTCACAATTTACTATTCATTGTGTAGTGACATTCTCAAAATTTCGCTTTTGTCCCTTGTCTCTTGAGTGTGAATTGTCAATTTTATCCTTTTTTTCCTTCTCCTTTCCCTTCCATGTGCATGGGCTTTTACGTATTTCGTTTTATGATTGCCACGTGTCGATGTCCGACTGGTCGAAGGAAAAAGTGGCTGGGTCTACCACTGCGAAACTGCCCTCTTCCCCCCGCCGAACACACTTCTCTTGCACATGCAAATTACAACCGTCAAAATTTTTAATCAAATTGTTTCAAATCATTTCAGGTTTATTTTTAAAATTTTTATTCTTTATTATAGTTATTTACTCTTTTAAATTGATTTAGAGTTCAATTTTATCCCTTTTACTACCATTTTATGCTAAATTTTTAATTTTTTATATAATACAATAATATTTTTTATAGTAACGCGCGGACTTTTAGCTTGTTACTCTCTAACCATCAACGCTTTCTTTTGAAAAAAAAAATAATAATAATAATAGTCTAGTAGAATATTTTTTTAAAAGAAAAAGAAAAGAAAAAAGTGGCTGGTAACTGCAGACCGGCTTTCCGGCCGCATCCAATGGATTACAGATAGTAATTTGGTATATTATCTTTTTAAATGGCTTCGGATTATTTTGACAATACATATGTTGTGCAGTTCTTTAAAAAAAGAAATATTTAAAGAGCCCTTGTTTGAGGGGCAGAAATTCAAAGGTGGTTGTTCAAAGAGCATTTTTTGTGTTTTTTTTTTTTTTTCATTTTTTTTATAAGCCTAAATTTGTAGTGAAGAACAAATTTGTGAAAATAATGTTAACCTAAATTAGTTTTGAAACCAAATTAAAGTAAAATATCATTTATCTCAGCAAAAAAACTCTCTCTCTTTCTCTCTTCTTGAATCAAAAGCGAGATAGAAAAATTGAATGTCACATTCATCCCAGCTATACTCTCTCATTCTCTCTCTGATATTTATTTTCAGGTAGTGGGATATATTTAGGGTTTTAAAACTTTTGGTGCAAAATATGAGATTAATCATATATTCCTTTAAATTCCTGATCATTAATTTTTGCTACCCCTACAATATGCTAATTTTCCAGACTCTCTTTGCCCTCTGATTGACCTAAATTTTTGACGAGATATTTAAACTACATGATAAACTTTCTTATGTTGTGTTGAAATTTAACAAATTTTTTAGAATATAACAAGTAACAATAATGAAATAGTAATTATCATATCGATATGATTTTTATTACTATATACTCAGCATGTGAATGATATCAAATTTTGCTATTTTTTAATATTTCAAAAACTTCTATATTTAAACTTCACTATTTACATGGAAAACATTAGAAACACCACTCAAATGATTAATAAAAAAATATTATTTATATCACTTCATTTAAAAATAAATAATTTTCATTCAATTAATAAAGAAAAAATAAAAAACCATAATGACACCCAATTATTTAGAATGACATAAATGATAGTACTGCACAAAATTGTGGCAAGTTATATACTTATATATATATATATATATTACGAAATTGTAGTAAACAACAGTTGTAAAACTAAATTAAATAAATAGCATATTTTAAAACTATTTAAAGTAAATATCAGTTTACCGTGTAATGTTTCTTTTACAACTGGTAAAAAATAATTTACGTGGTAAAAAATCTATATTTACATGAAAAAAGATCTTTTTACCAGTCACAATAAAAAATTTGTGTAGAAAAATATCTTTTTTATTAGTCGTAAATAAAATATTTACACAATAAATTGTTATTTACTTTAAATATTTTTAAAATATGCTATTTATTTAATTTAGTTTCATATATTTTCTATTTACTACATTCTTTTTTTTTTTGCAAATTTAATTACATATGTCTATTTTACAATGGATAAAAAAAATGAATTTTCACATATAAGTTTGTAAATAACTCGTGATATTTCTATCCTTAATTAAGTACCTTTAAAATTAATTATACAAATTCGCAACCACATAAATAAATAAAAATATTTAAAATTATATTATATCAATGACTATAAAATGAATAGATTGATAATATTATTCAATTAAAAACGTATTCTAAACGTAGTGAAAATGATCATTGCGTGTAAATACTTCCTATATACGTGAAGAGCCCAATTTTGATAGGCGTGAAGACCAAGCACTTGATGGGCTGGCCCATCTTTTCGCTCCTACCTCTCCTAAACGCAACGTTTAAACGGTGAAAAATCAATGACCACAAAACTACGCCGTTTACCTTGTCTTCCTTCTAAAACATAATTTTTTTTCCTTTTTGTTTTCTTTTCTTTTTTCTCTGGAAAAAAAAAAAAAAAAAGACAAACAAACATTTCAGAGTAGAGCAGCAAACTATCCTCGAGCACAAACCAGCAATGTCTCTCACGTACCAAAAACTCCCACTTCCATTTCCCTCTACCATTCCCAATCGCTTCCATACCCACTTTTGCTTCAAACCTCACCTCTTTTCTCTCTCCAAATCGCCTAAACTCTTCTCTCACCTCTCAACCCCACTTTGTTCTGCTTCTCTCTCTTCTTCATCCATTTTCCTCCCATTTCTCCAAGAAGAAGAAGAAGAAGAAGAAAATGAAGTTATCAACAATGAGGAACAAGAATCAAAACCATGTGAAAAAGAAGAAGAAGAAGACCCACTTGTCAAATTCTTCAAGTCTCGCCCCACAACCCAAGACCCTCAACGAGAAGGCCGGTTATCGCTCCAGAAGAACCGCCGCTCTTCGTGGCACCTCGCTCCCGATTCCGAGTTCGCGGACGAACCAGAAACCGAGTCCGATTCCAATATCGCAGAATCGCTCGAGAAAGAACAACGAAAGAAGCAAGAATTTGAGCAAATACCGGAGGGAATTGCGGGGGAAATTCTCCGAATCGCGAGGAATTTGCCGCAGAATCTGACTCTGGGAGAGGCATTGGAGGGTTTCGAAGGAAGAGTTGGCGCGAGAGAGTGCGTGGAAGTGTTGGGGTTGATGGGTGAGGAAGGCTTGTTCATGGGTTGTTTGTATTTCTTCGAATGGATGGGCTTGCAAGAACCTTCGCTTGTGACTCCTCGGGCTTGCTCGGTTTTGTTTCCTTTGTTGGGAAGAGCTGGACTGGGAGATAAGCTGATGGTTTTGTTTGAGAATTTGCCGATGAAGAAGGAGTTCAGAGATGTTCATGTCTATAATGCTGCCATTTCGGGCCTTATGTGCTCTAAAAGGTGCGCAATTTCTTTGGTGGAAAATTTCCAAGTTTTATTGTTTATCGTTTCTTGTCCTTGTGGATATTGATTTCCATTCAAATTTATGACTTAATCTAGTGCATTAACCTTTTGGGGTGGGCTTACTTATTAAGAAATACTTAGGCAGTTTAGTTCACGTGTTTAAATTGGTGATTTTGTGTCTGAATTTAAGTTTTGTGAAAAAACCATTGGCAGAAATTTTTTTTATTCAAATGTTTTATGAGAGAAAAATATTGTAGCAGAATCAGAATTATGGTTTCAAATGTGTGAAACAAACGGGCTCTTGGAATATTCAGAAAAATGGTTAATTGAAACTTATTGTGGACTCGTATGGGAGTAAGTTAAGAAATATTTGAGACTTACAACAAAAGACATACTTCTATTAAGGAAGTGAGGTGCCCCAGGGCCTCATAACGGGCAATTAATCATAACCATAGGATTTAAATCCTCTATCAAACTGTCATATTACTACAAGGGAGTTTCTTAAATTGCACTGTTATACACACTTCATACGCGTCTTCTGATTTAAGTTACGAGGTTGAGATAAGATCAGTGGTCCTTATGATGGGGCTCCCGCTATAGAATTCTCTGACAATTTGTACTCTTTTTTTTTTTTTTTGGGTTTTTCTGGAGATTCTGCAGTGGAGTGCTCTTGCCGTAAAGTTTATAGGACCATTGATCGTATACATGTGACTTAAATCATGCAGTTCGATATTGTAGAGTTCTGTATGACCGGTGATCACGGCCGTAGAATTTAAATCATACCGTTACACTCATTTCATAGGCTCCATATTATTTGAATTGCAAGGTTGAAATTAATAGTCCCTAACAGTAGGATGCTCCACTGTAGAATTTCCCCCCCTTTTTTTTTTTTTTTAAATGTGAGTTACTAACTTGCTGATTCTAAGTGCTGATGTAAATCAACTTATTTCAGGTATGGTGATGCATGGAAGGTGTATGAGGCAATGGAGGCAAATAACATACGTCCAGACCATGTGACATGTTCAATAATGATCACTATAATGAGAAAAATTGGCCGTAGTGCAAAAGAGGCGTGGGAGTTTTTCGAGAGAATGAACAGGAAAGGTGTGAAATGGAGTCCAGAAGTTTTGGGTGCTCTTATAAAGGCATTCTGTGATGAGGGTCTAAAGAGTGAAGCCCTTGTCATCCAGATTGAAATGGCAAAGAAAGGAGTATTTCCAAATGCGATTGTGTACAATACAATAATGGATGCTTTCTGTAAATCCAACCAAGTTGAGGAAGCTGAAGGCCTCTTTGCTGAGATGAAATTGAAAGGGATCAAGCCCACGTCAGCGACATTTAACGTACTAATGGATGCATACAGCAGAAGAATTCAGCCGGATGTTGTTGAGAAGCTTCTGGAGGAAATGCAGGATTTGGGGTTAGACCCAAATGCCAAATCTTATACATGCCTAATTAGTGCATACGCGAGACAGAAGATGAGTGACATGGCCGCAGATGCACTTTTGAGGATGAAAAAAGTTGGAATAAATCCAACTTCACACTCTTACACAGCTCTTATCCATGCTTATTCAGTAACTGGTTGGCATGAGAAAGCTTATATAGCATTTGAGAACATGCGAAAGGAGAGGTTAAAGCCATCCATTGAAACATACACTGCTTTGTTGGATGCCTTTAGGCGTGCTGGTGATACTGAAATGTTGATGAAGATTTGGAAAATGATGCTGAAAGAGAAGATTGAAGGAACCCGTGTAACATTCAACACTCTCGTAGATGGATTCGCAAAACAAGGTCGCTACACAGAAGCAAGAGACGTGATTTCTGTGTTTGGTAAGATCGGTTTGCAGCCTACACTGATGACATACAACATGCTGATAAATGCATACGCAAGAGGAGGGCAAGGATCGAAGTTGCCACAGCTGTTGAAGGAGATGTCAGTGCTCGATCTGAAACCGGATTCTGTTACTTATTCGACCATGATCTATGCCTATGTTCGCATTCGGGATTTCAAGCGAGCATTTTTCTATCACAAGCAAATGGTAAAAAGTGGACAAGTTCCCGATGCCAAGTCTTATGAGAAGCTTAGATCAATTTTGGACGTGAAAGCTGCGAGAAAGAACAAGAAGGATAAGAAAGCCATACTCGGTATAATTAACAGTAAAATGGGATTGTTGAAAGCTAAGAAGAAGGGAAAGAAAGACGAGTTTTGGAAGAACAGGAAAATGCACGTGAGAACTGTAAACTCTGCTTCTAGTAATCGGTGACATGATCAAAGCTTCAATAGGCTTCTTATGCATCAAGCATTCAGCAAGGTATGTTTTTATTCTCTTGTCATTAAGTTGCTGAATAATGCTTTTGCCGAAGAGAAACAAGTTATGTTGAGATGAATACCAGAAGCTGCAGTTCCAAGAATGTTCCAAATTGTTTCTCTGTTTGTTACTTGGTTCGTTACTTAGGCTTGGTTCCTAGGAAGATTCGAACTTTTGACCGCGACATTCAAAGCAGATGTAGAATTATTATTTGTCTAAGTCTGCAACTAAATGAATGGCTCTATTTACGGTTAGTTAACTGTAATTAGCATCGTACCGTACAAGTGTACAGCTCTCAGACCAATACAATCTGCTATTTATCAAAGACTGTTTAGTTTACTTCTTAAATTTATTCCTTTGGTGCTCTTTTTGACAAGTTTCTGTTATAACCCTCGGGTAGAACTCATCCCTAAAAGCTAGCTTGTAGGGAGAGGGTGTCCAAGTGGTTATAAACCCACATGCTAAGCTCATACTTTAGTAATGTAGGACTCAACCAGGATCCTAACATACTACCACGCTTCCGACACCGAAGTCTACGGCGGCCCACTCTGGATGGCCCACTCTGACCTTTCCATATCGCCCCTTCCCAGGTCGCCCCTTCCGCAACGTGGGCCTGAGGAAGGGCATGCTCTGATACCAATTGTTATAACCCTTGGGTAGAACTCATCTTCAAAAGCTAGCTCGTAAGGAGAGGGTGCCCAAGTGGTTATAAACCCACATGCTAAGCCCATACTTTAACAATGTAGGACTAAACCAGGATCCTAACATATTCCTACACCAATGGCAAAATCAAATCCACTGTAGCTGGTTAACTAACCAACTAACAATGCCAACAACTCCAACTAAACATGTGCCAAGCATAGTAGTCTATAAACTGAGCTCAACTAACTCTAGAAGGCTCTGAAATTATTGTGCCTCTTTCACTAGCTTTGGCCCCTGTTATTACCATATTTTTCTGACCAAATGTTCGTGGTTAACTGCAATAGGAATATCTAAAGTCTAAACAACCACTTTAAAATCCTCTTTAGCCTTTAATTGAGATGTACCGCGCAGCTCAATCTCAGCCGTTAAAGTTAATTCAGATTGTATCCGATTTTTTTTTTTTAACCTTCAATGACTGAGCTTTCTTTTTTCATCATTTAGGACTCATTTATTTCATATGCTCAAACTCAAATCATTGAGATCTGCTACAAAATTTTTATCTCATAAAAAATTTAAATTTCAAACGTCGGAATCAAGAATTATGGTTTGGATATACCTTCTAAACGGGCCCTTAATAGTTGAGATTTGGATTGCATGATTTGTAATTTTGACGTAGTTATTCCTTATTGTTTTGGCACTCGTGGTACGAAAACAATTTTTTTTTTGTAATCTTTACGTGATAAACTATACTTGATCTTCAACATTTTGTTGGTGTAGTGAATCCTTGGATTGGATATGCATCATTTTAGTTTCAAGAACACGTTACATTACTACTGGCTCCACAATAAGATTCCGATGACAAGTAGTTTGAGTACTACACTTTATTCTGTCACGTTCTTATTCATTATAATATTGTCTTCTTAATTACCTTTTATTCTAGCTTAAGAATCCGCCATAAAATAAACAAAAAAACTTTTCTACTCATAGAATAACACTTTCTATGTGCTTAATATATTCTCCCAATCTCTTTTTTCAAACTTTATTTCCCTTCTATAGTCTTCGGCTTGACCCCACGATCTATTTATCATCATCACAACATGTTTCTTCTTTTTGCCTCTATGCTTTTCCATTGTTTTCTTTGGTTTGTTTATTAATTGTTGATTTTAATGTTAGACTTTACTTACTTCATTAAACAGTCAGAGAAAGCGACTCAATCCTATCCATTTTGCAGCCCATCAAATGAGATAATGAAACCTACTAGCAAAAAATTTGATATGAAATTAGCACAAACCAACTCCTACAATACATATTCCCCGGTGGCTCATCCTTACCAACTCAGTATTCTAATTGCTTCATGCCCAATCTGTTTTGAGTGTTTTGCCTCAATTGTTTCGGTGTATTTATGGTAGAGAATGCTATTCTGCTCCACCTGTATGAACTATATTTTAACTGTTAGATTAGTTTTCCAACAATCTATCTGGACTAGGAGCAATTACATGTCGTGTGCTGTAAATTTTTAATGTAGACATGTACAGATTTAACCGTTAGAGAACTAATCTAACAGTTAAAAACAATAGTTTCTACCGGCAGAGTAAAAACTGCATATCCTACCATAAAAGTTTCCCAATTGTTAATATTTGCCTCCAGAATTCTAATAACTTTATGCTCTTTATTAACCCAAGAATTCATTGTTTTAAACTATTTGTGCGTTAACAAGGACCTTTAGCTGGATTAGTCTTACATGGTAATGAGGCATTTATTTTGTTTATAATAGTGATTTTAAATAGTTGTAACAACTAGTTTGGAATATTTATCTTTAAAAGGTCGTTGTTATACAGAATCTATATTGCCTCATGCATGTAATATGTGTGTGGATAGCTTGTTATACCTCAACCGTTGCATATATTTATTTATGTATGACCCATTTTGTTGAAAGCCTGTATAAAAAACGTATGCAAAAAGCCTATGTGTACATGTAAGATGTATTTTTTTTTCCCCCTGCATGTAAGATGTATTTAAGCCCTTCATAATAACTTGTGTTAAATTGCACCCCATATGTAATCACTTATAAAACGATTAAGTTATAGTAAACTATATATTAAATAAATATATATATATATATATTCCCAAAATAAAATACGTTGAAAATATTTAAGAGCTGTTTCTTTTTCTTGAATTGAAAGCAGCTGAAGTTGCTATAATATTTGATGTATTACTATTTTCTTTTTATTTTTACAAAGACCTTTTTTTTTTTTTTTTAGTTACTTCTTGTATTCTAAGCAAAAATAATAATATTTTTTCTTTTCCGAAAGAATAACTTTGAGGATTTGATTCATGGCTAGTACATGGATGATGGTACGACAATTTGAACCAACTTCAACTTTGCTTTTATTTCTTTTTTTTTTTTTTTTTTTCATGATAACTTCTTACCTATGGTATTTGCTCATTAATAGCATCTCTATCTAAGATTCGCATTGTCTTTTATTATCATTTCTTATTGGCATTGTCTCTTATTTGCTTTTATCGTGTCCTATTCGTATTGTATGGTTGAATATGTCTCTTATTGGCCTGTTAAATATGATTTTGTGTAATATAATTTTGAACTCTTTATTTTTTATTTTGCTGAATAAAGCTCTTTATTGAAAAAGCCTAAAGATTAAAGCAATTAGCTACTGAATTTTCATAGCAAGGAATCCACTCAAAACACATGTTACACGCATTTTCAAGTAACTGGACACATTTAAAGACAATAGGCATCACATGCCACTCATTCCTGAAGAGTTTTTAAGGTTCTGTTCATTTCACTAATTCGAGTTTAAAATTTGAGTTTTATTACAGTAAAAAGTTCTCAGAAACAGTCACATCTAACTTTTTTACTACAGTAAAAAATTCTCACATAAAGTCACATCTCAACTCAAATTAAAATTTTAATCAGCAAACTAAATGAGCCCTTAGTGCGTGTTTGTTTCAACGTTTCAAATCAAAAAATTGAATTCAAACCATAATTCAAGATTTAAATTGATGTTTGATATAGAATAAATGAGGACAGCTCAAACTATTAACAATGGTTCAAACTCTTGATTTTAGAATTACTTTTTCTCTCTCCTCAACTTTAAACTTAAAAATGTTATAAGTTCTTCGTTTTAATTCCGGTTGAAATTTTTTTTGTTCAATATATTCATTGTTTTGGGGCATTTTTCTATATAATGGGGATGGAATAAAAATGATGGAATAATGTTATGGGATGTGGTATGGTAGGATTGGATGTAATATTGTCTTTTAGGAATCATACGGGTGAATACTAAATTAGTAATATCAAATAATTCATGTTACCAAACTAGCTATATAAAATAACTAGTGCTACTCCCTAGTACAATGATGCAATATGAAATATTGTGCTACATGATACAATTGTATCTAACAAGCTTTGTAAGCACTAGGGTTGCATTATAATACGACAATGGAGGGTGAGAATAAAGTTATTTAGCTAATGGAAAAGTTATAGCGTTTTAGAACAAGGGTGGTGTATTCATGTCATGATTTAAATTATAGTTCGTGGTTCGTTATAGTATATTCTCTCACAAAAAAATACACGTAAATCGAGAATGATTCTAAATTCATGAACTAAACGTCCACGTGAAGAGTGTCAAAACAAAAGCCATCAAAGAAACTTAGCATGTCAAAACAATAAGAGAAGAGGGAGAGTAGAATTATGTAATTCATCTATATTGAATAGTGAAAGATGAGAGTAGAATACAACAACTATTTAAACGGTAAAACAATAAGTTGGTGGCCATGGTGTTTGGAAAGCTATAAATAGAGAGGAAGACATGCTAAGAAGGCATTGCATTTTGAGCCTTTAACAAGTTTCTAAGACATCATATGCATTTGTGGAGGCTTCACAACCCTTTGAGATTTTGGAAGCATTTTCTTAGATTTGACAAGCAATCCACAAGCATTCAAACTTAACATACAATCAAATAAGCCTTCAAACAAGAAAACATGAGGATAACTTTAAAATAATCTGAGGAGTATAGGTAGTCTAAAATAATTAAGAGAAAAAAGTTTGCTCATACAAAATTGATTGCCAATTACTGATTTAGACCACCATCGGTTTGTGAGAATTTCATCTTCCCCATAGTATGGGATTTCATGACATTGTTTCCATAAATTAATTGTTCTTTAGTTCATGATCTAACTATCATTATTGATCTCTCAAGGTAAACACATATATTGTATGTTTATTATTTAATTCTTTATTTTATTATACTAATGCGTGCCATATGTACATTTATATTTATTTATATCTATCTAAATCTTTATGATATAATTTAGAATAATATGTTAGCATTCAGATGTTCCCCATGAACTCGGGAACATTCATAATAAAGATAGGAATAAATCTCTATCTATATTGTATATTTTTTAATGTCATTTACAATGAAGTTTTATAAGATTTATTACAAAACTCTAATAACAGTTTTCAACAATTTATTCAAACACTGTTTGACTTTTATCATAATTCAAATTATAATTTATTTGCGTATTCACTCAGTTCCTCAATTCAAATCATATACCTCTTTTTTTTAATGCATACATTTAAAGGGTTTTCTTTATTCATTAAAAAAAAAAAAAGTGGTGTCGTCACGTTTGTAACTTAATGTTTGAATTTACATATGACCATTGGGTAAAAAATGTGAGGACACCACTCACTGTTTTAAAGGTGTGCATAAAAAAGAAAATAAAAAGAGAGGATTTTCCAAGCTTCACTTTTTTTTTTTCCTGATGAAAAAGCTTCACTTTCATTTATTCATGGATTTTTAAATTTCAGTGTTTCTTTAGGTTGTTTTTTTACAATAAAATTTAAAAAAAATTTAAACTCAAGTTATAATTTTATTAAAGTTCACATTCTTTTAAATTTTAACTTTATTCAACTTTATTTAAGTTACAACTTCTACTCAAATTATAATTCAAAAATTACACTCTAAAAAAACAAACTTTTGTATTTATTCATTACTGGATTGGGAATTGGGCTTATAAGGAATTAACTATTTACTACACCACCCTTCCACAAAGTTTGCAAGGGCAGGCCATACTCTTAAAAAGAACAAAAATTTAGGGGTACTTTAGTAAATTAGTCCACATCCAAAAACCCTAGAACCGGTTGAAGGCGAGCCGGGTGGAAGCAAAAGACAGGGAAGAATACCCGGTCTGGCTTTTGTAGCAAGGCCACGTGGACACTCAAAGAGATAATACAGCCAAACCCCCGATGACGTGTACCTGTAACCGTAGCCTCCATATAAAAACCCCTCCTCTCTCTTTCTCTTTCCCGATCCTATTTTTCATTCTCATCCATTTCCCACACTCTCTTTCTCTCACTTCATTTTCGCTCTCTTCTTCTTCTTCTCTATCTTCTCGCTCTGATTCTCGGATCCACACCGGAGTTTTCTGATCTAGGGCTTACTTTTTCTCCGTCGGAGAAGTTCGTCACGCCTCGGTGGAGCCTCCGTTCCTGAGATCCGATTGCTTCTCCTGTTCTTGGCTCGAGATCCGGGCCAAGCACAGAAGAAACTGGTTCCGGTTCCTGATTCGCCGCTGCTCGACCTCGCGATTCCAGGTTTCTCCCTATCTTGCTGGTTTTGTATCGTGTTTGTGAGATTTTTTGATTGTGTTGGTCTGTTTGGTTGCCGAGAAAGAGAAACCGTGCGGGAAAAGGTGTAGTGTCGTATTTTTTGGTTTTTCTTTTTTTTTCGTTTCTGTGACTTGGAGAACAAGAACGCTTAAGTACGGTTGCTAAATTAGGCTTGTTTTGTTTTATTCATGTTTCTCGTAATCGGATAGGATATACTGTATTAAGCGTACGTGAATAAAAAGGGAAAAAAATACATATATATGTTAAGCGAAGTAATATTTTAGAGCTTCATTTGTTTTATTGTTCAAAACCTGATGTATCGTCATACTTAAGTTATTGATGTAATTTCCATGTCATTGTCCCCTAAATAATCGAGTTGTGGCATTTCTTCCACTTTTTAATTTTTTCTTCATGAGGAAATGGTGATTACTGAAAGTTTTTGGAAGTTCTTGAAGTATCGTGACTTGAAATCATTTGTTGTTGTGTGATAAAAATGTGAAATTAGAAGAAATTTAAGCTGATTTCCTTGGAAGTTTTATGTTGGTTTTTTTATTTATTTATTTTTTGTTTCTGTTGTATTTATTAAGTCTCCATTGAATTTCTTTCTGTTGCGCTCGTGTGATACTTCTTTTTTTCTTGTAGAAGGAATTAGGATATTAAGTCTTAAATCTGTAATTTAATTTTGATGTACAGGATCTTTTATCTTATGGCGTCAAGTGAGGGATTTCTTACAGATGAGCAGAGGGAACAGCTAAAAATAGCCAGTCTAAATGCAGACGTTTTTTCATCATCTCCGAAATCCCCTCCATCACTGCTTTCTGAACATCACGTGAAAGCTCCCGGTGGTGGCAAGGCACCAACTGTCCCCGTGAGACATGTGCGCCGATCGCATTCCGGAAAGTATGTGCGTGTGAAGAAGGGTGAGTCTCGCACTTTCTTTTGTATCTTAAGTTTATGCTTGCTTAGTTGCTTATGCATCTTTGATGGACTGGAAATGTGTTCTGTAGTTTATTCGTGAAGATACATTTTTCATGGTCTTGGTGAATTACTGGGAGGGGATTAATTTGTATTAGATTACATGCTGCCGTGCTCTTTAATTTTGAACTTGTTAGATAAATTCAAAGGTTTCTTTAACTTGGCTGTATGAATATATATATATATATATATGCTTTGCGAGTAGACTGTAACTTGGACCAATGTGTCAAGACTATTGATTATGAGCTGTAAGGCTACTATAATATATCTGTAACTTTTTTCTACACGCTAATCTATTTAAGAAATGTTAATAGGATACTTATTATCCATTTTTTTGTCTTCTACTACCGTCAACATATGGTTTAATTTCCCCATTAAATCAGAATTTACTTTTATAGGTTTCTTGGTTGTGTCTGTTTTAAATTACCGTGTAGCCGTGTATTTGGGCTGTTTTCATGTATATGGAAGATAATGAGACGTGGTTCTCTTAAATCTGCTCAGTGTCGCACAGCTAATAATTTACGTAGTTTCGTATGGCATTAATGAAGAAAAATCTTGGGGAAGTGCCATGAGTCAATGTTTTTGTCCTTTCCCCTCACTTTATCAGCATTCTTGTGTGGTGAGATTGACACTTCTTTTGTTTTTTGTTTTTTGTCTTTTTTTTTTTGTTTAGATGGTGCTGGTGGTAAAGGAACCTGGGGAAAACTTCTTGATACTGACAGTGAATCCCATATTGATCGAAATGATCCTAACTATGATAGCGGAGAGGTAATTTCCATTTTCAATTAATATATTTTGTTATTATGCAAATAGATTATATTGGCTTTTACTCAAGAGTTATATTTTCAAGCTTATGCATCGTTGTTTTCTTATTAACTGAACAGGTTTACATTGTTAATGTATCTATTTTATCTATTTGCCTCTATGTTGCTCTCCACAGGAACCGTATCAGCTTGTTGGTCAAACTGTTTCAGACCTATTGGATGAATATAAGAAAGCGGTGGTCTCCATTGTTGAAGAATACTTCAGCACTGGTGATGTTGAATTGGCAGCATCTGACCTCAGAGAACTTGGCTCAAGTCAATATCATCCTTACTTTATTAAGCGGCTTGTTTCTATGGCCATGGACAGGCATGACAAGGAGAAGGAAATGGCCTCAGTTTTGCTTTCGGCTTTGTATGCTGATGTCATTAGCCCATCCCAGATTAGAGATGGGTTTTTCATGCTTCTTGAATCTGTTGACGACCTTGTAGTGGACATACTAGATGCAGTCAACATTCTTGCCTTGTTTCTCGCACGTGCGGTAGTTGATGATATCCTACCTCCAGCGTACCTCACAAGGGCAAAGAAAGCACTTCCAGAAGCTTCCAAGGGATTTCAGGTAATTCAAACTGCGGAGAAGAGCTATCTCTCAGCTCCACACCATGCGGAACTTGTGGAAAGGAGGTGGGGTGGTAGCACTCACATTACTGTTGAGGAAGTAAAGAAAAAGATTGCTGATTTGTTGAGGGAATATGTGGAGAGTAAAGACGCCTTTGAGGCCTGTAGGTGCATAAGGGAGTTAGGAGTTTCATTCTTCCATCACGAGGTCGTGAAGCGGGCTTTGGTTCTTGCCATGGAGATCCAAACAGCAGAACCACTGATTCTGAAGCTATTAAAGGAAGCTGCTGAGGAAGGCCTTATAAGTTCCAGTCAAATGGTAAAAGGGTTTTCTCGGTTGGCCGAGAGCCTCGATGACCTTGCGCTTGACATTCCATCTGCAAAACCCTTGTTCCAGTCCCTTGTCCCCAAGGCAATATCTGAAGGATGGCTTGATGCTTCATTTGTGAAATCCTTGGGTGAAGATGGGGAGGTTCAAGAGGAAGATGAAAATGTTAGACGGTACAAGGAAGAGGCTGTGACCATTATTCGTGAATATTTTCTCTCGGATGACATTCCTGAACTCATCCGAAGCCTTGAAGATCTTGGGGCACCTGAGCACAACCCAATATTCTTGAAGAAGCTTATCACACTTGCAATGGACAGGAAGAATCGTGAGAAGGAAATGGCATCCGTTCTGCTTTCTGCTCTACATATTGAGATGTTCTCGACTGATGACATTATAAATGGCTTTGTCATGCTTTTGGAATCAGCAGAGGATACGGCATTGGACATTTTGGATGCTTCAAACGAGCTCTCTCTTTTCCTTGCTAGGGCTGTGATTGACGACGTCTTGGCTCCCCTGAATCTGGAAGAAATTGCAAGCAAGCTGCCGCCAGATTGCAGTGGCACTGAAACCGTGCGGATGGCTCGGACCTTGGTCGGTGCTCGTCATGCTGGTGAGAGGATCCTCAGATGCTGGGGAGGCGGAACTGGCTGGGCCGTGGAGGATGCCAAGGACAAGATAATGAAGCTCTTGGAGGAGTACGAGAGTGGGGGCGTTGTGAGCGAAGCTTGCCAATGCATCCGTGACCTCGGGATGCCCTTCTTCAACCACGAGGTGGTGAAGAAGGCGCTGGTGATGGCGATGGAGAAGAAGAATGACAGGATGCTAGACCTGCTCCAGGAGTGCTTCAACGAAGGCCTAATCACAATCAACCAGATGACGAAAGGCTTCACCCGGACCAAGGACAGTCTTGACGATCTGGCTCTCGACATTCCTAACGCGAAGGAGAAATTCAGGTTCTACGTGGACCATGCTCAGAAGAAAATTTGGCTCTTACCGTCTTTTGGGCAATCGCCGACCTTAGATGTTTCACTGACTCAGGTTGCAGCTTCTTGAGGAGAACATGCATTTTCGATTGTCTCTCTCATGTATGTTGTTGCCCATGACATATTTGAACCATTTCAAATGGTGTTATTTTACTCTTATTATAGAGTTGGATCGGTATGGGATGTAATGGGGTTTTTTTCTCTCTTGGTTTTATCTTTACTTCAAGTGGTCGTTCATCTGATGGAGATTCTACCAATGTGTAAAGTCGGATTTTCTTAGGCTTAGTTTCGTATTGTTTTTCCCTTCTAAAATCAGTTTTTGTTTGCAGTAGAAGTTAATTTTAGTATTTGGTAAATCTTCTCAAAAGTGTTTTTTGAATAATTTTTAAATTATTTCCAATCAAAATTAAAAGCATCTAAACACAATTTTAATTTTTAGATTGTGCAGGAATTAACATAGTATAATTAATGAAATTTTCATTATATTCATAATACCTCTGATAAAATTTAAAATTAACAATCTTCTCAATTTAAAATTTAAACTCGTAATATAATATAATATAATATAATAATAATATTATAACAAATAATATCATAATATATTAATAACTCTAATATTATTATTTTATTATATAATATGATATTATAATTATTTTAATAATATGATATTATAATTATAATATTTTTATAATATTGTAATTATATTAACTATTTTAATAATATTATTACATTCTATATTATAATTATATAATACGTT